TGGCCCTCTCATGACCAGCAAAGGCCAAAGGCTTCAGGTCTTGCACCTACATCCTTCCACCAGCAGGCAGGTAGGCAGCACCCATGACAACAGGCATGTCACCTGGATTGCAAGGCCTGGCAGAACCTTTGACCTTTTTCACCCACCAGCAGTCGTTGATTCTTCTATTCGTCTCACCCCCTTTTTCAGTGTCTGGCGGAGCATTACAGTGGACTCCCAGGTCCTCACCATCATAGCCACCGGCTATGCCATTGAATTTGATGCTCTTCCCATGACGGGACTGCTCAAAATAATGAATCCCTCTCCTCCTTTGGAAGATGATGTATGTTCTTTACTTCAGAAAGATATCATGCAGGTTCACAACCCAGATGTAGCACTCAGCTTCTATTCCCAGTACTTCGTGATCCTGAAGGACAGGGGTCTGCGTTCCTCTTAGACCTCAGTCACCTCAACTCTTTTATCAGTCCTCAACAATTCCGTATGATTTCCCTCAAGGGTACCATTCGGATGCTCAGGGAAGATGATTGGTTCATGGTCATAGACCTGAAGGATGCCTACTTTCACATCAGCATTCTCCCGGGTCATCGCTGCTTTCTCAGATTCTCTATCAAAGGAGTGAACTACAAATTCAAGGCCCTTCCATTTGGGCTGTCAACCACCCCAAGAATGTTCACAAAGTGCTTAGCCCCTTGTGGCAGCTCATCTCCAGTTGCAGAGCATCACTGTGTTTTTTTACCTGGATAATTGGCTACTGGTGGCGCCGTCTCAAGCCCAGGCTGAGCAAGACATGGCATTGACTCTCCCTGTGTTATCAGCCCCAGGTCTCTTAAGTCAATCTGGAAAAGTCTACCCTACAACCTACTCAGCGAGTGTCTTACATCAGGGCAGTGTTCTACTCCTCGCTGGGCCGAGTCTACCTGCCAGAGGACAGGATAGTAAAGACCCAGTTCATGTTAAAAATTTTTTTCCTGGGGCCTTGGTATGGGTCCATCGGACTCAGCATCTGTTAGGCCTCATGACATTGACCATAGTGGTGGGCCAACATGCCTGCCTGAAAATGAGATCCTTGCAGGCGTAGTACCTATCCCTCTTCAATGCGATAGTTGACCCCTCATCCAAATTACTCGAAGTCACTATAGAGCTGGCATCCCAGTTGACCTGGTGGGGGCATCCCTCAAATCTCCTGGTGGGGAGGTCGTTCGGCCCTCTTGCTCCATCAGTCCAACTAACCATGGCTGCCAGCCTGACGGACTGGGGCACACACTGTGGAAACATGACTGTTCACGGTCTATGGTCCCTGAGTGAGGTTCGACATCACATCAGTCTCCTGGAGCTGCTCACGGTTGTCAAGGCTTTCCGAGCATTCGAATGGCTAATCGCAGGCCATGCAGTTCCGGTGGCTCCAGACAACACGATGGCCGTTCTGTATCAACAAACGGGTGCACTCATTCTCTCTACCTTTATCTAGCTGTCCAACTCTGGGAGTGGTATTACGCCCACTACATTTACCATGTGGCAGTCCACGTGGCGTCACAGAGGAATGCCCTAGCACACCATCTCAGCAGACTCCAGTCTGGCAGCCATGAGTTGGCACTTGACAACAAGATCATCTTTTCTCCCGTCGTTGGGGCAGACCATGCGTGGATGTGTTTGCCTCAGCAACAACAAGAAATGCAGTTGTTACTGCTTCTGAGCAGGGATTGGTTGTTGTTCCTGAGGGGAACCAGCTGGTCCACCAGCCTGCTGTACATGTTTTCACTGATTCCGCTCATCAAGAAGTCAGTTGTCAAGGTCCGCCAGGACAATGCGGATGTCGTCTTGGTCGGCCCGTGGTGGCCCTATCAGCCGTGGTCTCTGCCCTGCAGCAGAGAGCAGACAACCATTTCCATCTCCCAGCAATTCCCCACTTGCTGACCCTGCATCATGGGAGGACATTTTATCCTGACTTTGACTCCCTTCACCTAACTACGTGGAGGCTGCTTCCACTGTAGCCAGTGTATTCAGCCATGCGCGGAAGTGCTCTACTACACAGACATACTCCTACAATGGAAAGTCTTTTGTACATTTGCATCCTCCATTTCCTCCTCCATCTTTTCCAGCATGGCCTTTTTCATTCCACAATGAAAGTTTATATGGCGGCAATAGTGGCCACATTCTTCAGAAGCAGCAGGTTTGTGCTGCCATCCCACTCTCAGGCAGTTTTTATGGGACTTGAAGAACATGCGTCTGGCTTACAAACCTACGCCACAGTGGTCCCTTCAGCTCGTGCTTAATCGCCTCATGAGACCTCCGTTGGAAGCCCTGGCTACAGCATCTGAATGGCTGCTCACTCTGAATACTGCCTTCCTCCTTGCAATTACCTCTGCACGTCGAGCAGGAGAGCTGGCTGCTCTTAGAGTGGACTCTCCTTTCCTTCAGTTCCACCCAGATGTGACACTCTTATCTGGACCTTTCCTTTGTGTCTAAGGTGGCCACCTATTTTCATTTTAGTCAGCCTATTGTATTATCTACATTTTTTCTGCACTGACTTTGTGTCTTGAATGTTCTTTGCATTCCTTGGATGTCAAGCGGGCACTCTCCTACTATGCCTCTCACTCCTCATCCTTCCACACTTCAAATAGATTGTTTGTCCGTTATCAAGGTCATTCCAGGGGATCAGCAGTCGCATCCTAGATGATCTCTTGGTGGATTGTTTCAACTATCTGACTGGTGTATGAGCTGGCCCAGACACCTCTGCCACACACCATGAAGTCCCATTTGACTAGGGCTGTGGCCTCCTCCACGGCGATCCTCAGAGGGGTGGACCTCCCTGATAACTGCAAGGCGGCCACATGGGCTCTGCCATCTACTTTTGTGACCCATTATCGACTGGATGTCCAGGCCAAGGCTGAAGCTGCTGTGGGTCATGCCATCCTGGCCTCTGTGCTCTCGGGACGTCCCTCCTCTGTGTAAGTCAGCTTGCTAGTCACCCATTAGTGTGCATTCAGAGACCACAAAGAAGAAAAGAAGAGATTGCTTACCTGTAGGAGACTACTTATAGGAGCCTCGTGGCGTAGTGGTTAAACGGCTGTACTGCAGCCAAAACTGTGCTGTAGTACAGGGGGTTCAATTCCAGGTAGCCGGCTCAAGGTTGACTCAGCCTTCTATCCTTCCGAGTTCGGTAAAATGAGTACCCAGCTTGCTAGGGGGACAATGTGTAGCCTGCATAATTAACTTGTAAACTGCCCAGAGAGTGCTTGAAGCACTATGGGGCGGGATATAAGCAGCACGCTTTGCTTTTTTGCTTTGCTTTGCTGTAACTCTGGTTCTTCGAGTGATCATCTGTGAATTCACACTTCTCGCCCATCCTCCCCTCTGTCTGTCACATATGCCTTTTGCACGATGGGCAGTGGTGGACTGTTCTGCAGAATTGAGGCACTCGGTGCCGGGGGCGGGGTTAAGGTTGTTGTATGGGAGGTCTCGGCACCATGTGCTTAAGCTCTAAAATATTCCAAAGTTTCTCTGTGCAGGTGCACTGAACCCATTAGTGTGAATTCACAGATGACCACTTGAAGTGAGGAAGTGAGAGCTGGACCATAAAGAAGGCTGGCCGCTGAAGAATTGATGCTTTTGAATTGTGGTGCTAAGAGAAGACTCTTGAGAGTCTCCTGGACTGCAAGGAGATCAAACTTATCCATTCTGAAGGAAATCAATCCTGAGTGCTCACTGGAAGGACAGATCCTGAAGCTGAGGCTTCAGTACTTTGGCCATCTCATTGAGAAGAGATATCTCCCTGGAAAAGACCCTGATGTTGGGAAAGAGTGAAGGCAAGAGGAGAAGAGGACGACAGAGGATGACATGGTTGGGCAATATCATCGAAGCTATCAACATGAATTTGACCCAACTCTGGGAGGCATTGGAAGACAGGAGGGCCTGGTGTGCTCTCGTCCATGGGGCCATGAAGAGTCAGACACGACCTAATGACTAAACAACAACAACAACAAAACCCCTTTTTCTGTGAGAGACCAGTTCACTAACAAAAGCTGTGGCAAAAGGAACTGTGTGAGCATAGTTTTTGGAAAGTCTGAGGAAGTTCCAAGAGGTGGGGAAGTAAAAAATAGAAGTGTACTGCAATAATGACAAACAAGCAGAGTTAGGTGGCCTGTAAGTGACCTAACAAATTGACTTGTGTTAGATTTGTGTATTATTTTGTATTTATAATTGTGTCCATCTTACCTTACAAACTTACAAACTGAATGAATGCTATGAAAGGGTTAGCGTCTTGAAAATAGACTTTGAAAGAGGTCATTTGAGGTCTGAACCAAGGAATTTTAAATGCTAAGGTTTAAACCTCTTGACCTTTGATACCTCACCTGTAACACCATGGAAACTCACTGGGAGAGTGGAACTGATAAAACCACACCTTAAATATCGTACTTTCCTTGAAAACCCTATTAGTATCTCTATAAATTGGTTCTGACTTGATGGCACATAACTACCTAGGGAAGTGGTATACTCCATGAAGCATCTTGGAAATGAAAGTAAAATTCATTGATTAGTCTGGAAAGGTTTACTTAAGCTCTGGGTTGCTGCAGTCAGGTATTCCACAGCAGAGTAGGGCACAGTGGCCAAAATTCTTTTGCACACCTATCCAGTAATTTAACTTTTGAAGACAGGTTTCTCCAAGGTTTCTCCATGTTAAGGAATCACTGCAGACATTATCAACTGCATGTTGGATTATGCAATGATTTCTTTACTTGGAGCAATTTGCTTCCAAAGATTGTGCTCTTTGTGCTGTGCTAGGGTAGGTGGGTAAGAGGAATTGGGCCAGTAGGTAGCTTCAGTGACATCGGGACTAGCTTTGTCCAGTAAAATATAAAGAGACCAGACTTGTCCATACTTCTCTTACCCTCACTTACATCCTTCTCTGTACTGGGTTATAGCTTTATTCTTACTTTTTGTGTGTGTAATCTATAAAGTACCCTTAGAATCACAATTTGATGTGTTTGTTTTCCTTTTAGAATGGCCACAGATGGCAGATATTTCAAGATCTGCTGGGAACAGATCAAGATAACCTCGATTTGGCCAATGTGAATTTAATGTTGGAACTGCTGGTCCAAAAGAAAAAGCAGCTAGAAGCAGTATGTTTTCATTCTTAATAAATATATTAAGAAAAATTTTCCTTGGTGAAGTTCTTCTCAGAGTTGACTTCTTTGCATAGTATAGCAATGCCATGTACCTGTTTATACTTGGTGCCCCAGTTTTAAGAAGTGTGCAGGTACCCACTTAACCTGAGCACCTAAGTAAATGTCCTTTTTATATGATCTGCTAATCTAGAACAGAAATAGTGACTTTTGTTATCCACAGCCATGGTAGCATTTTGAAACAATGGGGAATTGACAATGCTACTGCAGTACTAGCTTTTTCCCTGTTATCTTTCTGCTAATGGGCAAAGACATGTAGAAGGGGCTTTTAACCATGGCATTCTGTTTTGATTTGTTGTTCAGGATCAACCCAAAAAGAATTTGGGTTGATCCTGAACAGCAGCTACTTCCCCCATTGAGTAGGGGGCAGTAAGATAAAGTGCAGGGTTTATCCTACAAAGTTGAAAGCCACCTTGAGTTTGAAAATTTGAGGAATCACCTCATGAGAATCTGTCTCACCTAATGTTGCTTCTTATTAGAGATCCTGCCTTGATTTTCCTGGTGTTTGCCTAGCTAGTAGTAAATGGAGTCCTGCTTCATTGACTTTGATGTAATCTTTCTCCTTTAAAAAGAAAAGGCAGAATCAGTTGTTCTACATTTAGGTAAACGCAATCTCAGATTAACCACACATGACATATTACACTGTGCCACAATTTATTTAACAAAAATAAAGCCAAAATGAAGAAGCCATGTGTGAAAAACTAAGTGCACCTTATGATTCAATAGCTTGTAGAACCACCTTTAGCAGCAATAATTTGAAGTAATTGTTTTCTGTATGATTTTATCACCCTCACGTGTAGAAATTTGGTGTGCTCTTCTTTACACTGTTGCTTCAGTTCATTGAGGTTTGCAGGCATTTATTTATGCAGAAGTCTCACCACAGCATTTCAATCGGGTTGAGGTCTGGACTTTGACTGGGTCATTGCAACACCCTGACTCTTTTCTTTTTCAGCAATTCTGTTGTACATTTGTTGATGTGCTCAGGATCATTGTCTTGCTTCATGACCCAGTTTTGGTCAAGCTTTAGTTCTTGGGCAAAGGGCCTCACATTTGACTCTAGAATACTTTGGATTATACAGGAATTCATGGTCGACTCAATGACTGCAAGGTGCCCAGGTCCTGAGGCTGTAAAACAAGCCCAAATCATCACCCCTCCACAGTTGGTATGAGGTGTTTGTGCTGGTATGCTGTGTTTGGTTTTTGCCAAACAGGATGCTTTATGACCAAACCTCTCCACTTTGGTCTCATTTGTCCAATGAGACCAAATGTAATTACAGTGGGGTCTTGACTTAAGAACGGCTCAAGTTAAGAACATTTTGACTTAAGAACCGCTCTCATAGGAAAATATTGACTTGACTTAAGTACTTAGATTTGAGTTAAGAACTGAAAAAAACCCACGTGGGAGCAGGGAAAGTCCAAAATGTGAACTTTCAGTTAACTGTTGGCCAGTGAAAAGGGTGCCTGTCTGCTTCCTCACTCCTCCCAGCGTTTAGAGAGGGGATTGGGAGCCAGTCTTCAGATTGCCTGGTACTGTACTGCCTGGACTGTATTTTCCCTGCCTTCCCTGAACCTTTCTTGACCTAAGAAAAAAAAAAAGAAACAAAATATCCCCCCTCTAGTGGTCGAAGGCGGAATAGCAGCTTCCCATTAGTTTCTATGGACGGAAAAGAGCAGATACGGATCAAATGGTTTTCAATGCATTCCTATGGGAAATGCAGATTTGACCTGAGAACTTTTTGACTTGCGAACCGCCTTCCAATACGGATTAAGTTCTCAAGTCAAGACCCCACTGTAGAAACCTAAGCCATGCTGCCATGTTCTTTTTAGAGAGAAGAGGCTGGCTCCTGGCAACCCTTTCAAAGAACCTGTACTTGTTCAGTCTTTTTTAAATTGTACTGTCCTGAACTTTCACATGAGATTGGAACAAGTTCAGACGAGGGCAACAAAGATGATCAGGGGGCTAGAAACCAAGCATTATGAGGAAAGGCTGAAAGAACTGGGTATGTTTAGCCTTGAGAAAAGAAGACTGAGGAGTGATACGATGGCACTTTTCAAATATTTGAAAGGCTGTCATACAGAGGAGGGCCTAGATCTGTGCTCGATCATCCCAGAGTGCAGGACACGCAGCAATGGTCTCGAGTTAAAGGAAGCCAGATTTCAGTTCAATATCAGGAAAAACTTCCTAACAGACCAGTATGACAGTGGAATCAGGTACCTTGGGAGTTGGTGAGTGCTCCAACACTGGAGGCATTCAAGAAAAACTTGATTGCCAGGCAGATGTGCTTTGACTGTATTCCTGCACTGAGCTGGGGGGTTAACTTGATGGCCTTGTAGGCCCCTTCTAACTTCATTTTTCTATGATTTCTATGATTTAACATGCGAATTGAGTCCTGTAGAGTCTGAGATGTAACTCTTGGAATTTTTTTTATAATTTCTCTGAGGATTTCACAGTCTGACCTTGGGGTGAATTTGCTTGGACATCCATGCCTGGGAAGATTGTCAGCTCTCCTGAATGTTTTTCACTTGTGAACAGTCTTCCTCCCTGTAGAATGATGGACTTTAAATTGTTTGGAAATGGCCTTATAACCCTTCCCAGACTGATGGGCAGCAACAGTTGCTTCTCTACAATCATTGCTGATGTGTTTCCTCCTTGCTGTTGATATAACATGTACCTGAATGTTGCAGACCAGCAAAATGCTAAAACTTCAGCTTTTATAGAGATGGTTATACTTACTGATGGCATTTGGTTGGCAGCACCTGACTCCTACTTAGCCTCTTAATGGAAGCAGTAAGGGTGTACTTAGTTTTTCACACACAGCTTCTCCATTTTGGCTTTATTACTGTTGAATGGCACAATGTAATATGTTATGTGTTGTGCATCTGAGGTTGTATTTATGTAATTTTCAGACCTGCTAAGGACCAGATGATTTTTAATATGTCTTGATTCAAAGAGGGTGTACCTTCTTTTTCCCATGACTATATAATGTTCATCAGGGCTGGTGCAGATATAATACAAAGGAGCAAGGCTTGCCAGGGTTTGTCTACTTCCTAGACCAAATCCTCCTCATTTGTGATTTTCCTTAATGGAGGAATGGAGACTTACTTGAAATTTACTTCAAAACATTGATAAACAAGACGATATTCATATTCCTAAGGCTTTCTACCAGTGTGTTGATTACCATTACCTCTATTACATTGTCCTGGCCCCAGAGGTTTAGTTCTGTAGACTATTGGGCATAAAAAAAATAGGAAAAATGAAAGTGTATTATTTTATATGTATCTTTTCAAAGATAAGACAAATTCATTCTGCTTAGAAATTTTCTTAGCACAGACAAAAAAAACTTTAAACTTTCTGTTACAGGAGTCCCATGCTGCTCAGTTACAGATTTTGATTGAATTCCTGAAGGTTGCCAGGAGAAATAAAAAAGAGGTAATTTAACTTCCTTTAATTCAGTACTATTGAACTCTTCTTTTACTGACACTTTTAAAAATAATGCAGGTAGGCATATAATTCTTTGTTCTTGAGGAGATGTGAGTGAGTGGGAAACTTACAGAATAGAAGTTTTGAAATATATAGGATTGAAGAACTTCAGAATTGGTACTTATGTCATATAGCTTTTTAAAAAAATACTTGACTTGAATGTTTCTTTTGTTTTGCTACTTATATTTTTAAGAAAGGATTGTCAAGGAAAATGTTTTTGTTGGCTGTTGCATCAAATTCTTGAAGTACATTGCAACTGGGGTAGCTTTAAAAGTGATTGCTATATTCCCAGTAAACCATTTCTGAGAAAATAAAATATAAAATAAAAGAACACACATGTAGTAGAATCTGGACTTGAGTATGTTGTTATATTTCATGTTGAAAGTTTGGGGGATCCCTGTGCAAAACAGAAGGGGCAAAAATAGAATATTAGTTTATTGGACTTGAAGTTTTCTACAATTCATTAAGTATCGGAGGGAAAGGAATATTGGGGAGGGAAGTGGGGGCAAAGAATGCATGCTCGATGGGCCAGTGTGAGCATTTGGCCTTTCTTAGTGTTAATAACTGAATGTGGATTTTGAATGTGATCATGGATTGTGCACATTCTTGTATGAATTCCCTTTGCTTCCTCCCCGTAACTGTTGATGCATCTAATCATCACTAGACTTCATTAAAATTAAGTCAGCTGTATACCTAAACTCATATTCAGAAATGGAGTTTGAACTGTGACTAGGTTTGGGTTTGATAAAGTATTTAATAAAGTTGTTTTAATCTGAACAGAAAAGTTCTGAACATTGCGTAGTTATCTGCACAAACTAAGTGGTCTAATAAACAGCAGCTTCTTGTTAAAAAATTAACATGTCCCCACTTGGATTTTCAGGTAGACATCAACCTATATTTATTTATTCAGTTTGTATTCTGTTCCCATTAGTGCTGAGACTCTATTCTGGGCAGTTACAACATATGTAACAGAAAACGAAAACAAAAATTAAGATAAAAACGTTAAAAGCAACAATAATAACCCTAAAAACAGATGGCACCGACTAATCATATAAACCCAGAGAGAAGGGAGGAAAGAGTGGGAAGGTGGTCAGCTGTGGTCGTTGTGGAAAGCCTCCCTGGAAAGCAGTGTCTTTAATTGCTTAATAAAGGGAGGAGTCTAGATGGAGCTCCTCTGAAACCTGGTTCCATAAGGTTGGAGTCACCATGAAGAAGGCCCTACCTCTTGTAGAGGATTTATGGACTTCCCTTGGGGTGACCACCTGGAGGAGCCTTGACTGGGATGATATTGTGGGTTGGGTGGGTGACATTAAGGAAAGACACTCTGACAAATAGCATGGGCCCAAACTGTGGAGGGCTTTGTATGTGAGTGTCGTAACCTTGAACCTGATCCGGGATGCAACTGGCAACCAGTGGAGGCGAGCCAGAACTGGAGCGATGCTGTCAAATTTACTCACATCCACCACCAGTCTTGCTGCTTCCTTCGGGACCTGTTGAAGTCTCCAGATCAGGCTCAAGGGAAGCTCCATGTAGAGAGCATTGCAGTAATCAATCTGGGAGATGACCAGGGCCAGCACCAAAGTCCTGAGGGAATCCTAGTTTAGGTAGGGCAAAGTTGGGTGATTAGCCGAAATTGTTTAAAGACTGATCTGGTTATGACTGTAATCTGGAAACTGGTGTGTACCAGAAAATCCAAGGGAGGGACTCACTAATTACCGTATTTTTTGCTCCATAAGACGCACCTGACCTTAAGACACACCTAATTTTTAGAGGAGGAACACAGGGAAAATATATTCTGAACCAAATAGTATA